ACCTTTGGCACAAAGTGGTCCCGTGCATATAACTTTTATATTTCTAAAGCCTTAATTGGGGGTTCCTCAAGTTTTGGGAGACTAAGGATCCGTTTGGCCATAGATTTTAGTAAAACAAACTTGGGTTTTATTTGGCAAATACATGTTTGGCCATAGATTTTGCCTATATTTTGGTCAAATCTCAAATCCCAAATCCCAAAATCAGCTGGTTTTGGGCCAAAATATCACTATTATATTTTTTTTAAAATTGTCCCAAATTTTTGTATTTTATAAAAGAGCTCACCATTTATTATTTTGTAACGATGTTGCTTCGTCTTCTCGGTCATCTGATAGTGTATCATGTAGTTCATTATAAAAATAATAATTTTGTATCAAATTTATTTATGTTCAGGACTATGGTTTGTGATATTATAATAAATGTTATTGATAATGGTACTGTTGGGTATTTGTGATAATTTTTAGAACTTGTGGGTATAAGTCATGTTTCATGTTTTTCCAAACCAAACTTCACCCAAAACAGATGTCCAAACACATTTTCATCTTCAAACCAAACTTCACTCAAATTAGATTTTTCAGAATAAATTTGGGAATCTATGGCCAAATGCTAGCTAGAAATTCTCCCATAAATGATCATATTCAAGAAGCTAGTGATAATATGAATATCCATATTATCCGTCGGATAACCCGTTTTTATCCGTCTCAATTACTGGTCGGATCGGATAATTTATTCATTTTTGAATTACCCGTTTTCGATCCGCTCATATCCGCCCCGCCCCGCCCGTTTGCCACCCTTGCTCTTACCTATCAAGTTCTATTAAAGAATCCAACTCATATTGAAGTGAAACTTGATGAGTTCATATATGAGGCGAGCCCCAATTGACTTGATAAAGCAGATTCAAATTTATCTATTACTAGTATATGTTTTCATTAAACATGAGTACTATTAGTTAGATGATATGCCGATATCGGTCAAATTATAACACCTGCGCATTTACAGATATTTAGCATACTGAAATTTATATTCAATAAACTAAAGAATTTGACTGTAAATTAACTTGACCTTAGTGGGGATGAACATATCATATGATGAAGTCATGGATCCCATTGTTGCCCAAATGAGTTGTTATCATCAAAAGAAGTCAAATGTCTCCCAAGACTTAATCTTTTGGGGTCAGTTTTGATTACTGATGTCCCTATTTTTCTATCAAAAGTGCGCTAAGATATTAACTAAATATTAAAATTAAGCCTTTTTTTAATTGTTTTAGACTCAAAGACCATAGAAAAAATTATACTTAAAACTCCCAAAAAATTATTCATGACAACAATCTCCACTTCTTTATTTTTTTTGTCCACAACGTGGTACAGCTGTCAGTAAAATGCCATATTTGATATCATTGTAGGGACAGACCTTAGCCAGCTTTGAGAAAATCCCACAATCAGCTGACCCTTTTTTGGCAAACCAAACTATTAATCGTGAGGCTAAAACGAGCAAAAGTTTCTAAGTTATTCATATTGAGTCCCTCTTAGTAAGGTACATAGCACTTATATTGGGAATACGTTCTTGTGCAATGAACATGCATGCGTGCCCCGTTGATTTACAAGTAAATCCCATTGCGTATATATACAAGATTTGATGTTTACGGATTAACTGACTTTACAGTCAAATATGTGTAAATATTCAATGATTTTTTCCGATAGACCATCGGTTCCCTCCCTCCAAGAACTTTCCACCTTGCTCTTGGGGTAATTCGAACTCACAACCTCTTGGTTGGAAGTGGAAAGTGATTACCACTAGAGCTACCCACTTCTTATCGCAACATTCGTCTTTATTCAAGTTCTGTGGTATCTTTCCATGAACAATGGTCCCATGAGTTTTAAAGGTGAATAGGATACCCTCAATAGTAAGAAAGAAAGTATCAAATGCTCTCATATATCAATATCCCCTACAAGAGGTCCCATATATCCTAGCAATTATTATCAACAAAGTGATTTTCAAAGTAACAACTTCCCATTGGCATGGACTTAGACCATCCAACTTAGTTCAAAGTATCTATCATCTCAAAGTCTTATTCACTCACAGATATTAATATATTGGTCCAACGTACCATTAATAAATGATGGATTCTTTGTCTCTCAGAGTTCAAGTTCAATTGCCATAGACTTCAAACACGGGGTTTGTGTGGGAGCTTTCAACACTGAGCTAAAGGCCAATCTAGTAAAAATTGCACGGGCGCCCTATTTGGTCGCCCCTATTTAAACTATACTTACTTTTTAAAATTTTTTTAAAGTTGTACCCACTTTTTAAACAACTTCAGGCATCTTTCTCCTCCTCCTTCTCTTCCTTCGTTTTCTTCTTCGTCTCCTCCTCCTCCTCCTTCTTCTTCTTCTTTTTTGGGTGATATTATTCTTTCCTCTAGGTGATATTATTATTCAAAGTGCTGGACTCGTCAAGGAACTCATATTTCTCAACACAAGTAGGCAGTAGTGCATCTTCTTCACATAAAGCGAATCTCTTGGATTCAGGAAACTTGGTTTATTGATGATTTGTCAGGGAAGCCACTATGGCAAAGTTTTGATGAACCCACTGATACCTTCCTTCCTGGTATGAGGATGGACGACGGGAAGTTCAAGTTGACTACTTGGAATATTACCCAAAAGGACCCAAGCACTAAAGTGCATCCTCTAGGAGCTGAAGTTCAACAAATACTAAACAAACTTCAGCTCCTAAAATGCTGAAGTTCAACAGATACTAAACAAACTTCAACTTCTAGAATGCTGAAGTTCAGCAATTACAAAATAAAAACTTCAGCCAAAATTGCTGAAGTTCAGCAATTATTGAACTGAAATGCATCCTCTAGGAGCTGAAGTTCAGCAAATACTAAACAAATTTCAGCTCCTAAAATGCTGAAGTTCAGCAGATACTAAACAAACTTCAGCTCCTAGAATGCTGAAGTTCAGCAATTACAAAACAAAAACTTCAGTCAAAATTGCTGAAGTTCAGCAATTATTGAACTGAAGTTTTCCATTGCACTATGAACTGAAGTTTGCGTGATTGTTTTTGCAAGTCAGACCAAACTTCAAGTAAAAATATATGAAATTTTGCTTTGATAAGGCTACACTTCAGGAAAAATATTCTGAAGTTCAAACTTTAGACATAAATATTTGCTACTTCAGGCCTGTCTGAAGTTACCCGAAAAGTGGGTACGCTTGCAATTGTTTTTACAAAGCGGGTATATATTAAAAGGTGACCCAAAAACTGGGTAGAAATGCAAATGCCCCGCCAATCTATGTTGAGTTGCTCTCTTTAGAGGGAAATCAATACAGTGTAGCCGATTCCCAAATTAAATAATAGCCTATATTAATGTATAATGTACATATAATATATGTTTATATACATAATCAATGTATATTTTGTTTTATGTATTTGGTAGCGGCCGTACTTTTATTGGACCGACCAAACCAAATGTGTTAAAAGCCCCATCTTTATATGACTTAGGCTATCATCACTTCAGGAGCTAACGTTTAGCGTTAAGTTAGACATAAAGTCCATTTCTTTATCAAAACTTGCCCACTGATTTCACTGAAGGACAACTTTCGTTTGCTAGCGTTATGGTCAGATTCGATAATTAATCCCCTAGGAATATTAGAACATTTTGGTAGAGAGCAGTTTATCCCTTTTAGTAGAGTTAATTGGCAGAAATTTGGATAATTAATTAGTTGGGTTAGTGATAAGTTCCAGATTTCGAATGCGCGAAGCAAGAAGCAGAGAGAGAGGTAAAGAGCCTGTGTTGTGTCTTCACGATTTTATAGTTTAAAGAAATCAATTTGAACCTGAGTTAGGTTTATAAGTAGTCGTATATAAAACAAGCGACCTAAGTAAATATTTTGTTTTCATTTTTTTTTTTAAATTAGGTCGATTATAAAAGGGCTTATAATTCCAGAGCTTTTGCTTATAATTTTTAGTTTTTTTCCCTCTTTTTTTCTCGAGCACAATCTCTGTAATCTTCTTTTTAAATTCCTAAAGAGAAATTCAATATTGATTTGCGGAACCATTTAGTTTAGTTGATAAACCATGATCTTCTTTCCTTTTCTCATTTTATTGTTTGAACCGGATGCACATTTTATCATAATTTCTTACTAATTAGTCAATTTATAACAATCTACTCTGAAGTCTCAAAAAAATTGGCCTCTATGCACGAATAAAAAGTATTTTATACAATTTTCAAAAATGTTCAATAATTCTAATTTATTTAACTATTTATAAATTTTAGATTTTCATGTGATATTGTTTCCTATTAATTAATTATTAACGTTCCACCACTATGTTTACATTTTTCTCACTACATTTACCATATATACGAAAGTATGTGTATGTATATCTTATTATCTGTATGGTAAAAATGGATTTAAGTAATAATTTACAATATGAAAAAAGTGGAACAGTTAGTAAAATATTCTCGGATATTCCATTTTACCACAAATATAGTTCCCTCATTTAGCGTATTTCATACCAGCTATAATAGTAGTGCACAACAACCCGTTTTGGACTTATTGTTCAGGAATCAGTATCCTCTTTTAATGGGAAATATTTTTAAGGAAAAATATAAGCGAAAACAAATACTCTTTTAATGGAAAATAATTTTTAAGGAAAATATTATTTGTTGTTTTGCGGCAAGAAATTGATTTATTTTCTGGAAAAAAGGTTTTTCTTCGTTCCAAAAACACACCATCTATGTTAATTTGTTTTTCTCAATTTCAATTTTGCTAGAAGGGCAAATATTTATAATGTTAGTTTAGGTTAGCTTGAATGAGACACTTGAAATTAATGGTTGTTGCACTCAAGCAATCTTGTCTGGGCAATTTTTTTTGTTCAATAAAGCAAAGAAGATAAAGAGAATATCAACACATGATTAACTTTATTCCACCAGAATAGTACAATAACTTCCACTTTGAAAAGCAAATATATACGCTGCGTCGTTGTCCAATTGTTATATATCATTGGGTATGTGGAGGGTCCTAAATTTTGTCTCTCAATTACTGCACGCTCCATCTATGGCGCGTGATCCGCTGACATGAAAGCACCAAACGTTAAGCACAAAGTGAGAGTAGAAAGCAATTCAATTATTTCTCTTCCAAGAATCTCCTCCCACATAAGCCAACCACAACCTCAAATCTGCACCAAAGAATCACAAAAGATACAATAGTAATAATATTAATAATTATAGGAAAAGGAACCTCGCTCAAACTAGGTAATCTAAAGAGAAGAACTCTTTAAAATGGTGATATGAATCAATTTAGAAGTAGAAAAAGTTACAATTTTAGTACTTGTATGCTGTTTTAGTTATGGAAGTTTTAGAGAGGGAGGAAGATATTAGCCCTAGATATTCATTTCAAAGGAATGGATCATCATTGTCTTGTGTAGTACCACCATTCTTGCTCATTGATAACATCCCCAAAAAGAGCTTGTCCTATAACAAGCTACCTGAGGAACCCCTCAAGCTCACTGTCCTCAAATTAGATGGCTCTTCCTTTGGTAATTTTTTCTTATTTTCCTCCTCTACTTGAATTGTGAAATCGATCCTTTTGGTTTGTATAGACAAAGTTAGAGTCGGTGTGTTCAAATGATACTGAAATTGATGTGTTTACGCGCCCTTAGAATATATCTGTATATGTGTGCGCGTGTTTCTTTCCTTGTTTTTCCTTATTTTGTTTGTGTGTACATATATGCAGGGACGGATTTAGGGGCGGAAGGGTTCTTCCCCCAAAAATTACAAAATTCGTTTTTTACCTCTATATATAGTTAGAGGTAAAGGTAGTGGGACAGTTTCTGTGTACGACCTAGATCCGCCCATTATGCAACAGCATTGATGTATTACTTGACCAAATGGTCTGTGATCAATTGAATTTAGTGTTGTGCAGATATTAAAGTAGCAAGGAATGCGACAGTGGCAGAGCTTAAGCAGGCGGTGGAAGCTGCCTTTAGTCATTTACCAAAGACGGGAACAGGCAAGGTTTCATGGTATGTACATTGCACAGGGTAACGCTGCAAATATAAAAAACGCGCAAGTATGTGTGTGGGGTGGGAATTGGGGGTAGTAGGTTCAAGGAGTTGTAGTTGAAAATTCATCTATTAGACCATAGGGCCATTTCCTACAATTCTGCATGAATTCTTTTTTGTGAGCATTACCAAGTGAAGTTTTGACATCAGGACTTTTTCCCATGTCTCCTGATGAAAAGTGTTCCAAGGCAACAGCTATCAGCCTGTATTAGATTGTTGGCTGAAAAAGGGGTACAGTTTTTATTTTCCATCTGTTTCACCTATTTAAATTTCTTTATGGTTCTTATTTTAGCAACTAAACTTCTTCGTTTGTAGCTTTTTCATGACTCAACTTGTCTCTCTTATGAACAATTGAAAAAGATCACTCTGTTTGAAAGGACCTAACAGTTGAATGCTGTTACTTTATATAAACATGGTAGAATGTCGTGGAAGCAGATTTCTGTCTGACATAATTTACCGGCTTTTCCACTATATATCATCTTAACTAGAGAAATCAAACCCCATAAGTAGTGTAGCATTCACTTCCTTTCCAGCGTAAAACTTGCCAATTCATGATGAATCCTCATAATAGTACTGTTGCAGGTCACATGTGTGGGGGCATTTTTGCTTGAGCTACGACGGGACGAAGCTACTTACTGATAGTGATTTGTTGGGAACTTATCGCATCAAGGATGGTGATAAGGTTTCTTCTCAATTCATTGGACTTTTTAGGGAAATTGCTTTTGTCTATTGTAGGAGTGTTGCTTTGATATAGGAGGATCCGTTTGGAAAGTAAGAAGCTAAGCCCCTTTTGATACATCTTCATTTGCAAATAATTCTCAATGTGAAAACACAGCCATTTCTTGTTCACTAAAAGAGGTGAATACAGTCCCAAGAGAGACATGTAAAATGCAGGTTCTGATGCCTAGTTATCATGTAACAGAGTTCATACCACAGCGCTAGTTATGACTTCCATTTGGTAACCTCATTTGAATAGAAAAAGATTTACTTAACCCCTAGCCTCTCAAGCTAACAAATCCATGACGGAGGAATTGTGCAGATCAACATATCTGGTATAAACAGAATGCGAAAAACAATCTCAGAGCATAACTGCAAAATTCTGCCCCAACAACTTAGGATACTTTGATTTACTAGAATTGCTTAATGCCCTTTATGATGGTGTATTGACCAAACATAAACAACTGATAGACTAACAGAGGCTGTGGTTTCTGTCACTAGGCTGCTTATTTAGCCATTGTGATCTGCATTTTTGCTTTTATGAGTATTAAGCAATTTCTTTTCCATCCTGGGGTTAAGAAATACTTGCAAAATATTAAAAAGCTGAATATTTGCAAAAGCAGAGAACTCTGTACATTACAAGTATAAATTTTATAGAGGTTATAGATGGATGCCTGGCTTCCCATCATTTGAGATGCAATTCTTTTTCCTTTATAAAAGGCATCTCTGTTACATGCTATCAAGTGGAACTGTTTGAATATTTCCTTAATGCTCTAATGCTTGAAGTTTTTGGACTTGCAGCTTAGTTTTATGAGGCATGTCTCCATTAGTTACAATCTGGTCAAGACACGATCGGAGAGAGAGGACCGCAACGATAATGAACCTAGTATGTAAGTTCTCTATATTGGCTTTCATCCTACTAATTATTTTCGCTTTGTGGGTACTTGTTGGTTCATGATACTAATATAGAAATATTGCAGTTTACCATGTCTTTTATGCTATTCTTTGCTATCATGCTAAAGTAAGCCTCTGCCCATTTCACTTTGTGTGAGAAAGAATGGACTTAGTGTTGCAGGGGTTTAATGCATATTTTTATAAAACTGCATGCTGGAGAAGTTAACTATATATATGAATTTTTCTAGCATAGTGGCATTGTTATAGCAGTTTAGATAATATCACTCCATCTTGGAAAATGCATTTTGCAGATCTAAAGGCTGTGAAGTCAGACAGCGGAAAGGCAAACAAGAGGATAATCATCATCAACATGACTTAGGGAACCATCAAAACAATATTCATGACCATAACAGGGGTGTTGTCGCCAATTGTGAATCCAGGTTGGTTCATTTGTTTAGAGGGTGGTTCCCCTACAAATTGGCAAGCCCAGAGTGGAGAATAACACGCAAAAGGAGTGCATCGAGATCACACGATGGTTTTCTTATGGAATCAAGAGACTTGGATAGCAACGAATAACCAGCATCTTTGAAAGTCTGGAATCCAATAACTGTTTGCACATGTCAAAGAGAGTTGGAGAGTGAAATGGAAAGCATTCACCTATGGCTGAAGCTCCAAACTTGACTTCCATTGATTTCAGTGTCCAAGCCAATTCTGCATAGAAGATTAATCATTGCTAGCATCTGTTCCATTTCCTCATTTGCAGATGACAATTAGTTGTGTAGACATGATTGCTTGGTGTTAGGCATGTAATCTTGGGATTGTGCTAAAGAGCCCCGACATTTCCTCTCTATTTACGCCATTTCTTGGTTCAGTGTAATCAAATCCAGATTTTCATCCTTCTTGCCTAAGAACGGAAATACACAAATATCAATGTATCACTTGGTCAGTGAAAAGAACAAATCCATTTATCATCAGACTTGAACTTCTGCAATCTGGCTTGGGATCTCCACAAGTATTTTGGAAGAGCTTAGTTTTACGCACTTGTAAAAAATACTTACACAATTACTATTTAAGATGTAGTTACATGTAAATCATATGATAAACATCAATCAGTAATCTAGTAAAGATGTTAACTAACCTATTATCACACGTTAAAAACTAATTTGATGGTGTAAATTTTTTTCGCTATTATTATATGTAACTTAAATCCCGGTAGCTTAGTCAATCTTCTATGAATCCATAACGTTTGTGGCTCTAAATTTTAAGACTTTTCAAATTTACATATACTTAGATTAGTCACTTATAGACCACTCTAGGTGAATCAAATCAAAAGACTACCAACTAATACTACAATTTTGTACATACTAAATGCGTTTAGGTCTTGACCAATACTAGAACTCTGTAACTAATTAANAAGAAGACCTCAGCCTCATCATGTTGTGGCATAGATTGAGATAGCCTTTCTGAGATCTTTCCGTCTTCTCATCCAAAACACCACCAAAAAATCAAGAATCAAACCCTCTCAAGAAAGAAGAAATTCCACTGCAAATATCTTAAGTTTTATTCATATCTACTTGCAGAAGAACAGAAATAAACCATGGCCAACATGATCATGGCCTCCTCCAAAGCCATAATCACTTCATCTTCCTCCACCAATATCCCTCCATCTCCAAGATTCAAACTTTCCCTCCCACAAATCTCCCTTCCCAAAATACCCCTCCCCAAATTAACCAAATCCCTCAAACCCCTCTCCATCCCATCAAATTTCAAGTCCATTTCATTAATTCTTGCTAGCACATTGGCTATAGCACCACCTTCACTAGCAGAAGAAATTGAAAAGGCCTCCCTTTTTGACTTCAACTTAACACTTCCCATAATCATGGCTGAATTCCTCTTTCTCATGTTTGCTTTAGACAAGCTTTACTTTTCCCCATTAGGGAAATTCATGGATGAAAGAGATTCTTCCATTAAAGAGAAATTAAACAGTGTAAAGGACACATCTGCAGAAGTGAAGCAATTAGAAGATCAAGCTGCTGCTATTATGAAAGCTGCAAGAGCTGAAATATCAGCAGCATTGAGTAAAATGAAGAAAGAGACTCAACTAGAAGTGGAGCAGAAGATTGCAGAGGGAAGGAAGAAAGTTGAAGCTGAGTTACAAGAAGCTTTGGCTAGCTTGGACAAGCAAAAGGAGGAGACAATTAAGAGTCTTGATTCTCAGATTGCTGCTCTTAGTGATGAGATTGTTAAAAAAGTCCTTCCTGTTCAGTAACTAATTCTGAAAGTTGTAATTGTAAATTAAATATTTTTGGTTGGTAAGAGTAAGATACTGTTTGATCAAAGAAAAATAAATGTGATATACTTGTATAAACGGTCAAAACCAAATTTGTCATTCGTATGTCTAATCGAGATTGGAACGTGGTGATCCGAGGATTATCATTATGATATCGAGACATGGTGAGAAGTATATGTTGGCAGGTTCGAGATCGAGCGACCGATCAAGATCCAGACCGGGACCAAGATCGAGCTCGAAGACTCAGAGACCGATCGAGATCGAGACCGGGACCAAGATCGAGCTCGAAGATTCAGAGATCGATCGAGGTGAAGATCGAGATCGACCGAGATCGAGATCGGCCGGGATCAAGATCGAGCCAAGGGACAAAAAAGCTGTTACAACCGCACTTGGGGAGAGAATGTCGGCGTAAATCAAGGAAAAACTAATTAATTAATATATCATGGGTTTCTCACTATGCATTTTTAATTATACCCAAAATGAGATTCCCCCACTATATTAAGAGTGGTTATCATTTGTAATAGGGATATTGATTCATACACACATTCATTTTGATATATACAGAAAATAGAGCAAATACTATCTTTTTTTGGCTTTTGGTATTTAGTCATATTGTTTCTTCTACTAATCGTTCTTCACCTAATTTGGAGGTTTGAAGGCTTAGGGTAACTAGTTCATTCGGTTTGCATTCATTTCTTTTATAACTAATTTCAATACACATTTATTTATCTTTCACAATTTGTACTAATTTATACCACGTATCCTTAGAATTGCGTATAAATTCAACTCTATCTGTTTTTTGGGTAAACAACTTGGTCCTTTTATGTGGGGAATCTCATGTAGTTCACATTTACTCATTTCCTGCTTTTGGTAATATGAAGTTGTGTTGGTAACTTTTAGAATTTTGTTTAAGAAGTTTTAAAGAAAATTGAAATTTGAAAGCTATTGATCAATTTGTTTTAGTTGTACTTCGTTTAGTATTGAAATGAAATGGGCATGGACAAAGTTTAATGGATATTTAAGATTTATATAGTCGATCCAACCCAATTTAACATAATTGGTCTGTCACGCCCCGAATCTGAGCCTAGACATAACATGACACTCGGTGCCTGACTACATATGACCGAGCGAATAAACTGGCTGGCTGAATCAACATGTGATATCATAACATATTGAATGCGGAAGATAAACTAACACATGATGATATACTGAAAGTCTGAGTGATATAAATCAAGTGCGGAAATACTAACACAAGTCTGAAACATATTTGTAGCCAATATTGCTTAACAAGAAAAGCATGCAACTCTGTCTAACCGTTACTCTAGTGTATGAAGCCTATAATGAAGTACTAAAAATACCGACTGTCCGAAAATATGAAAGATTATAAAGTAATGGTAATGCCCTGAAAGAACTGGGGCTCACCAAATAGCTGGTACGAGAATCTTAGCGCTCTGAATCGTCAACCTGTAAATCGTTACCTGCATCGCAAGATGCAGGCCCCGGGAAAAAGGGATGTCAGTACATTTGAATTGCACTGGTATGTAAAACAACTAAAAGAAAGAACTGTAAATACTGAAACTGATAACTGATACCAGATAACTGAAATGATAACTGATAACTGAACTGAAACAAAGGAAGTAAGGATATGAATACTCCCCCTTCTGAATGATGAATCACTTGTTTATCTGAATAAATAAATTGCGACCTCAGACCTAATATATATATGCACAAGCTGCGACATCGGGCCCAATATACCTATATATATAACTGCGGCCTCATGCCCAAAGATGCATAAAGTATAAACTACGGCCTCAGGCCCAAATACAGGTGTTCAACATTCAGGGATTTAAAATCAGAAACTGAGAGAAATACTCAATCATATAGAGTTGCATGATACTGGAAAGAATAGGACTAGACTGAGACGTGTATTCATGAACTGATTATGAAAACTGAACTTCAACTGTTTATGACATGCTGAGTAATCTAGACTGAGACTCATGGGCATAAACCCCAAGTCTATATTGATTACGCACTGAGCTCACAACGTTCAGAATGAAAGTCATGAACGAGTTACGAAGCTAGAGAAAAGAAGTTCTACAACTATTTAAGGAACTAAGCTTAACTATATTTCTGAGACAATTAGTAACGTCGTAAAAGAAACGTAGCGTAGGGAGAATTCATTAACATTCCCAAACATAGAGAGTTAGCTTCACATACCTTGATTCTGACATTTTTAAGTGTATCACAATGTTCGTTGCCTCCTTCAACGATAATCTATGTCAATATATATTAAGAGGAATCAATATTAGCGCTAATGCTTATATTTTAGTCACTTAGGCATTTTATCAAACACTTGATGGGCATAAAGTCTCATAGTCCTCATTAACGGTATTTCTACCCATAATAACTCATTCTCTTGCTCCTAGATAAATTCTAAAGTCTCCAATTACTATATTCAATATTTTTCTTCATCACCAATAAGATAAACAACAACCTTAATCAATAGTCAACAATCAACAACCCAAGCCTATAACCGTTAGTGATTTTCTATCAAACTCATCAACTCATATCTCATGAACTTAGAGTCCATAATCATTTATCTAATGCTATAATCAATTAGACGGTGAAGATATTACCTTTTGATGTTCAATCCTCTTGAATTCGAGTTATAAGGTTTCTTTTCTCAATAATGATGTTCCAATCGAATATCTAATGGTTTGGAGGGTTTACTCATGTTAATAAGGTGTTGAAGAATTAAAATTAACTTAGAATCATCATAACTTACCTTGGATGATGGAGGGACCTTAGAGGAAGTTAGGTTCTTGAGAGCTTCCCTTTCTAGAGTAATTGTTTGTGTTTTGGGGTGTGGAGGACGAGGTAGGGCTTTTAAAATGATCCCCCGGATTCTCTCCCACACAGCTGAAGGCCCAAACGTGGACCTGAACGCGCAGCAAGGGCAGTAGCGCTGCCACAAATGCGCTGCCACGCACGGGACAGCTGGGCGCACAGACTGCGCATTGTCCAGTAAAATATACATAACTTTTTGTACGGAGATCCGTTCAGGCTCTACAATATATCATTAGAAATATATTTTAAATAGATACAACTTTCATGTTTTGAGTATTCTCAAATTCCTAACAGCATTCCATGAAATCAGGATGAAAGACGAACCTTCCATAAATTTAGTCGATTTTATCGAATCTTACGCACCTCATTCTCTGTCTTAATTCCAAAACAACTATTTCTACTCATACTCATCTCGATAGGACTTTACATGTTTAAAATGTCATACTAATATTCATTTAACATGCTCACATCTAATCCGAATTTACGAAGTGTTACATGGTCGACGGATATGTTACTCTTGATTTATGAATTGTTTTTTCTCCAAATAATTATGTTACATACCTATCAAATTTTTCTATGTTCGGTCAATCCATTTGCAGCGTGAATCAATTCATATGAAATTTGCCGTTAATGATACATGTAATTGACGAAATTGCTTTTATCATAATATTCTCAAGCTAGTCTATTGTAGTAAATTGGATAGTTGAGTAGAGAGCTACCCCTCTTCTCTTCACCCTGTTTTTCATCTCTTTCTTTTTTTCTTTCTTTTTTGTTTGTTAAAGGTGCTCTACTAAGGACAACAGTTTTCCTTTTAGTGGGGAATTCTGAGAAATTGTCATTAAGCAAAAGTCATGATTAAAAAGCAAGTTGCAATAAATATTAATGACAATATTAGTTGAATAATCGAAAAGGAGGATGATTAAGTTGCTGGACGAGTAAAAGAAATTTTACACTAAGTTTGAATATATACGTTTTTTTGGAGTGGATGTTGGGGTAAAAATTAATTAGAAGTCACATAATAGTAACAAACACATTACAATTTTGTACAAATATATATTGGAGTTCATCTTAACTTAACCATGAAATCAGCGTACTACCTACATTACTATCTTTGTGGGTACGATCCTTCCTTGTACTCTGCATGAATGCGAGATGTTTTATGCACCGAGCTACCATTTATCCTGAATTATCAAAGGATGGTTATTTATTTACCATTTTCAGTGGCACATGCAAATCTACAATCCCTAATTATAAAGAGTTACATACAATATCATTCTCAATGACTTAATTGTATAAATATCTTTTATAACATAAGTGCAATGAACTTAAAATTTTCATACAAAGAAAACCTCACAAGGCGAATAATGTTTCACCTACTTATTAGCACAAATTACAAATTATTTTACACACAACCAAAAAAAAAGCATTTACCATGAAAAACAAAAGGGAACCTACATTGATAACAAATCAGGCAAATACAAAGATAAATCACAACACAAACATCATTTTACAACCCAATTATGATTCAGCAATAAGGATTAAAAAAAAAAACAAGACTAGCTAGCCAAGCAAGCAAATCTTGAAATCTTGATGCATTTCCCTCTCTCTAATTACACTTGAAACCTGTGGGAATAGTCTTAGCACAAGCACTAACCAAAGCACTAAGTGCAACAGGGATATCCAATTTGACAATTCCAAGCACATTAGCCTTAATTGCAGTGCAAAGGCAAGCTGCAACTTCCAAATCAGCCAAACCTTGAAGCAATGAGCAACAAGGACTTGTCACTTGGCTCCCGACTGCTACATTAACCAGCCCAAGTACATCAGCACAGACACCAAGCTTCAATGTGTCCCTTGGGCAAAAAGGATTGGCTGGGGCTGCCTTCTTTGGTGATGGCTTTGGCTTGATTGGTTCACTACATGGACCACAAGCAGCAGTGAATGTGGCAACAAGGAGAAGGGAAAGAATGAAAATGGTGGAGGAGAAGTTGGCCATGTCTGTAGAGAGTTTTAGTAGATAGGCTTTTAGAGTTAGGGGTAGGTGCTCTTGTATGAGAAAAAAAGAGCTATATTTATAGAGTTTAACTTTACGTACAAAGACAATGTTAGAGAATTCTTGCACTATCTGATTACTTAAAAAACATTATTACAGATCATTGCTTATGTTATTTAAATTCTCCAAAAGTGACGCCCCACTTGTGTCATATCTTTAAAAAATAATGCACATTAATATTTTTGGAGGATCTAATACGGGTGTAACAACATTATTTGGAGGATTCGAGCAAAATAGCATGTAAGTATTTACTGAAAATGAGATTTGCAACATAAGATATATTACATGCTATAACAAGTTATAATACATATTAATTAATAGTGTAAAAAGATCTCTACACTGCCAGAAATATATAAGTTAAATCTATATTTTGCATGGGAAAAATTGTGAGGTTGAAGTTGGAAGTTTGATTGAGTGGAAGAGAGTGAAAAAACAGATGATGCTGAACCAGTTGTAATATTTTGTAAGTTTGTGCAAAAGTTGGTTGTATTTTTGACCTCTTGTAGTTAATTTCCTTGGGCGTAGCAAGTGTTTCGTCGACAGGACAAAGCACGCCACTGGGCACATTATGTGTTATGGACCTACCTCATATTTTCACTGTGATCAACTGATACGAAATTTTGTCATTCATTAATACTTTAGATTAAATATGCGCTTGCCGTTATATAGTTGGTCCATATATACCATTAGAGTTACACAGTTGGCCCATATATACCCTTTTCGAAACGGAATCCACCCAAATTAATTAGTTCTTTCGTTAATTTTATTAAAGTGTATTACAAACACTATTACTTTTTTCATTACCTATCTCTTTTCTTTCTTCTTTTTTCTTTTCTTCTCTTTTTTTTTCTTTTTCTTTCTCCCTTATCCGATTTCCTCCATTACTGATGTCTTCTCCATTTTCGTCACCAATTTCACTTGACAAAACTCATGAATTCCAATTACTAAGAAAATTCTTGCATAAAAATATTTTAATAGATCATATGTTTGTCAATTTTTTAATTTTTACTGAACATATATTTAGTTCTAAAAAATTTAACAAAGGTAAGATTGAAATAATATTTATGTAACAAAAAATTCAAAAAATCCAACAAAACCGTACAATCCAAACCGATATAATTGGATTGGTTTGGTTTTGATAAAAAACGAACCAACCCGTTCCATGTACACCCCTAATTTACATAGTTAATAAAAAAAAATAGAAAATGTCCAGCTGAAAAAAGATGAAAAAAGACTAACAACTCAAACTTATAACACTACAACTTGAACTCTAGGCTTTTAATCATTAAATTATCTTTCTGGAAATAATTTAAATATTTTGGTCTTTTGAGTATTGTTAAAGATTGAGATATTTTTATTATTTTAAAGTTTAAACCATAATTTTTAAAACAATTTAATTTCGTTTATTTAGAGGGCTAGTAAAATTGAAAATTGATTACCTTATGGGAGAATTTTTTTAGTAATTGGAATTCATGAGTTTTGTCAAGTGAAATTGGTGACGAAAATGGAGAAGACATCAGTAATGGAGGAAACGGATAAGGGAGCAAGAAAAAGGAAAAAAAAGAAGAAAGAAAAGAGAAAGGTAAAGAAAAAAGTACTAATAAAAAGGAAATAGTATTTGTAATACACTTTAATACAATTAACGAAAGAGCTAATTAGTTTGGGTGAATTCCGTTTCGAAAAGGGCATATATGGGCCAACTGTGTAACTCTAAGAGCATATATGAACCAACTATGTGACGGTAAGGGCATATTTGAGCTAAAGTATTAACGAAGGGAAAATGTGCTCAATTTCGTATAGTACAAGGGCATATTTGGACCTTTGCCCTTTCAAAAAATATAAACAAGAGGTAATCAACCGTTGAAATATTGGATGGAGCTGGAAGCCCGTTTATGGTTCGGCCAAATTTTGTATTTGTGTTAACAATACAGGTTTTGCTCAAACAACGTATTTGTGTAAAAATAATTATTAGATATATAAAAATATTAAATTTAGAACTTCATGATTAGCACTTGAAGTCGTCATTCTAAATGAACTCATAAAGTCAAAATCCTGACTCCGCCTCTAATAACGAATAGTATCCTTGCTATAATTTCTTATAATTTCTCACAAGAATATTCCAACGGAAATCTTAAACATAGTAAAAAGGGAAGATTATTGTGCTATTATTCTTCAACTACATGCTTTTTTATTGTATTAATGATTTACAAATATATTGTTTTAGGACGATTCTATTTGTGCCTCAAAACTTCTACATTCTTGTTGAATATAATGTTAGTATTCAAAGGGAGAATAGTAGCTAGTGTTATAAATCTGTATTGCTGTAATAAATAATTAAATCATTAAACTTTCTGAAATATATAAACAAAACAAAAGGTTAGTAAAACTTATTTAAAGAAATAAATTCTGAAAAAATAGTGTAGGAATAAATCGAGCCCACTGAATACACAGTGTGTTCTTAACGAAATTATTCCCCTCAAGTACCCTAGGTGCTGGAATATATCCTCCCAGGATAGAACGATTTAACTCACCGGAGTGTTGGTACCAAAAACGCCGGTGAACAGCGAGCCACTCGAAGGCTGTAAAATACACTGGAATTTTTTGTGCAGAAAAAGAAGAAGAAAATCAGAAAATTTCGTAAGGAAAGATTCTGGGATTCAAAGTATATTTATAGCTGTGCTGGCATTGTTTCTGAAAAGGTTTGCAACCTTTCACAAACAGCCATGGCTATTGGAACATGTTGTTTGAAATATTGCGGAAAAATTTAAAATAATCCGGGAAAGAAAACGGGCCTGACCGGACCGGGTTGCGGGTCATGGGTTATTCCGGATAGAATTTTTCATTAATTAATTAATTAATTAATTGAAAGGAATTTTGTCCAAAAAGATTAATCAATCAATCGATCTTTGACCAAATCCAAATCCGAAGCCGAAGCCGAAGCCGAAGCCGAGCCGAGCGAGCGATGACGATGACGGCGCGAGGCTTGCCTTCTTCTTAACTCTTTAAGAGCTAGAAGAAGAGCAATTATATATATACCCATCAAAAGCCTTTTCTTCCTCCAATATGGGACAATATCCCTTTGCCAAGGAGGGAAACTCAAATATTTTATTTTTCCTCCATTTTTCATTGACCCTCTTTAAGCTACACAAGCTTAAAATTCCAAAAATCCCCCACATGAATGGGGAATGTCTATAAAATAAAGGAATGCAAGGACGCGTGTGTGTTTTACATGCAAGAATTAATTGCATCTGGATAAGTAGGTTTCCCTTTGAACTTTCCGTAGTGAACTTATATCGGATATACTCGGTCAATCGGTAGATTTGATATCTTTGAACCGTCGAGCTTTGTTGTATACCTAGACAACATAAGTCACACAATCAATCCTTAACCATCTATGGTTCTCACGGTTGTGTTCGTTTCAGCCATGAACACCGCCTGGTTTCATGAGTGCTTAGAGAATGGGCCTTTACTTTCATTCCCCTTGAAGCGGCTTACACTTCACACTCACATAGGCAATTTCTAAACGTGTAATCCTATAGACACATTATCTGATCATATCCTGTCAGACTTAGCAAATCATTAAAAAACCTTTAAGCTTTGTTGACTCATCAAAAAGCCTTAATGCTTTACCTCGATTTCTGAACATTGTCTTCATCATGAGAATGGGTTGAGTTATTTGACAATGTTGAACCGTCATTCATAACTTTGTTTGATCTCTTTGAACCTAGCTCGTGGGATCTCCAGTCTGCTAGGTAGAGTTACCGCCATGATGACTTATCCTAGACCTTAACCACATTCCCTTTGATGATCTTTCAACTGCCTCTCTAGATAGGCCTTTTGTAAGTGGATCCGACAGATTATATCTTGACTTTACGTAGTCAATTGTGATAACACCCCTAGAGAGTAGTTGTCTAACGGTATTGTGTCTCCGTCGTATATGACGAGATTTTCCGTTATACATAACGCTCCCTTCCCTGCCTATTGCCGCTTGACTATCACAATGTATACAAATAGGTGCCAAAGGTTTGAGCCAAAATGGAATATCTTCCAAGAAGTTTCGGAGCCATTCCGCTTCTTCACCGGCCTTATCTAAAGCTATGAATTCATATTCCAATGTAGAACGGGCGATGCACGTTTGTTTGGATGATTTCCAAGACACTGCTCCACCCCCAATTGTGAAAACATATCCACTCGTGGATTTAACTTCAGATGATCCAGTGATCCAATTTGCATCACTATATCCCTCGATCACGGAGGGATATTTGTTATAATGCAAAGCGTAATTTTGGGTATGTTTGAGATACCCCAAAACTCGTTTCATTGCCATCCAATGTATGTGATTGGGATTACTTGTAAACCAACTCAGTTTACTAATAGAACATGCTATATCTGGTTGCGTACAATTAATGATATACATCAAACTTCCCAATACTCTTGCATAATCCAGTTGTGAGTCACTTTCACCTTCATTCTTTTGAAGTGCATAACTCACGTCAATTGGAGTCTTGGCAATTTTGAAATCCAAATACTTGAACTTGTCAAGTACCTTTTCAATGTAGTGAGACTGTGATAATGCTAGACCTTGTGGAGTCTTGTGAATTCTGATTCCTAAGATCACATCAGCAACTCCTAAGTCTTTCATATCGAATTTGCTAGCCAACATGCGCTTAGTAGCATTTATATCTGCCATGTTTTTGCTCATTATCAACATGTCATCAACATATAAACAAACAATGACTTCATGACCTGGAGTGTTTTTAATGTAAACACATTTGTCGCACTCGTTGATTTTAAACCCACTTGCCAACATTGTTTGGTCAAATTTGGCATGCCATTATTTGGGTGCATGTTTAAGTCCATAAAGCGACTTAACAAGTTTGCACACTTTTTTTTCTTTACCAGTTATCACAAAATCCTCAGGTTGTTCCATGTAAATCTTTTTCTCTAATTCTCCATTTAAGAAAGTTGTTTTAACATCCATTTGATGGATTTCAAGACCATACACGGCCGC